GGGGTTACTTGAAAGAAAAAGTTTACGCTGCAATTCCTACAACCTGGGAGGACATGGTGGAGCGGATCAGGAACGCCTGTGCGGCGATACCGCCCGACATGTTGGCGCGTTGTGTGCCAGAATTCATTACCCGCATTCAAAAATGTGTTGAAATGGAATGACGACATTTCGAACATTTGTTATAAATTGTTTTCATAGCCGGCTATTGTTGTTAATGTTAATTTTTGTTTTTCAAACGTTTCAAATAATACATTTTACAAGGAAACTCATTTTTCTTAAATTTTGAATCACAGCGCCATCTGTTGATAAATTGAAAAAAGTTTTAAATAAAAGTTATTTATTTTTTTATGTACTACCAAACTCTGTGAAAAAAATCGGGTCATTCCATTTGACTTTCCAAAGTTACCCCCCGTTTCACCCTTAAGGAGGGGTAGGGGGTGGCTAGCGGTAGCACCCAATAATGTCCCCTTTAGTCACATTAACCTTTTATTTAAGACATTTTTCTGTGAAATGCGTATTTCTCGAGATATTGAGCTGTCTCAAGTTAAAAGAAACACCCTGTATATCTCCATTATTCGAGCTAAACTGGTAAAACCCCTTAAAGGATTTGTTTTGGGGGTTGCCTAGATTCGATTTTTTCAGATTTGATCCCAGTTCATTTTTTGTGTTGCACAGTGTAATTAATTATATTTATTACATTAAACTACCTTATTGCCTTACCTTATTTATACCCTTGCGGCCTTGAGTTTACGGGGAATTCACCGTGAATTCACCGTTTGCGTGAATTCACCGTGAATACACCGTTTATGTGCAGTGAATATACCGTCCATTTGTGACATTTGTAGACGGTAATTAAACGGTGAACTCACGCTCTTTTTGCGATAAATTCACGGTGATTTCACGGTTAATTCACGGTGATTTCACGGTAAATTCACGGTGAACTCAATACATCTCACGGCTGCTTACGCAAGCGAGCTAACTATAAATAGCGTTGGGTTGCAATATTTAGTTGGAAGTGTGCGTCTGTAATGGCATAGCTGAACATTAATCCTCATCTGCTCAGTAACAAATAATGGCTAGCTATAGTCGTGTTAAACCTATAGGATATACCTACCCTTGCGGCCTTTTAGTTCACGGTTTATTCACCGTGAATTCACTGTGAATTCACCGTGAATTCACTGTGAATATACCGCCAAAATACGGTGGATTCACAATTAAAATACTGTGAAAAGTGCGTGAATTCACCGTCTAACTACCGTTTACAAATGTCACAAACAGACGGTTTATTCACGGTGAGTTTACGGTGAATTCACAGTAAATTCACGGTGAATAAACCGTGAACTCAAGGCCGCAAGGGTAGGTAAAAGTCAAAATAAACAAAGTTGAATTTTTCTACTTATAACGGTGCAAACTTTAGTAGGTACTTATCCACTGATTCCTTTCGTAAAAGTATATTATAGTGCGCACTACGTCAATTTCGATAATGTATTCATATCTACTTATCTTATTTTTGTACAATTTTTATATACGGGCCCATTGTACTTTAACTAATTACCTAACTGATGGGTAAGCACCACCAAGTATTATTTAAGCACAAAAAATGATGGTGAGGGTGTCATAAGCAAAAAACGTTGTTATTAGTATATTATGATTTTTTACCATTTAAATAACACGGGAACAATGTTTTTTATTCCCATTTAGCTCAAAATCAAACCCATGGAAGAGGACATGAATCTGGTTACAAAATATTGTGGAAAAAATGCATTATCAAAGGAAATCTTTAAAAAATAATTTTAGAAGTAATTTTTTTCTTAATTTCTTGACATTTATTACAAGATTTTAAAACCGGAACAAAAAAATGTTGCGTAATAGTTATATTAAAAATACTGTAAAAATGTCCGAGAAAAACATTTTTAAACAGATACAATTTTTGGTAACAAAATCCATAAGATTTACAATGTTATAAGTTTTGTAATGTGTGTTAAAATACACTATGATGTAATCAAGTACACATGCCTGTAAAACAAATCAAAATAGTTTTATGACAGCATTTATTGCAATAACAGCTTAGCCGGAAATTAACAAAAAATAATTCTCCTGAAATTGTTTTTAGTTAAGTTTATATAAGACTTGTCTGTTTACCGCCTTTAAAAAAAATTAAATGTAACCTATGTACATATATGTACTTACTTATAAAGTCAACACATACTAAATAGCTGCAAGTCAAAGACCTTTAGCAAAGATAAGCCCCTTAAGGCTCAATTTAAACCTTAATTTGTTGCAAAATCCTGACATGTATAGGGTGCACCAGTTTTCTTTCCTATAAAAATAACAAGAAGTATTATATTATAGAAGTATAATAGAAGGAAACCTGGTGCACTCAGTATATTTATTAAAGTGTGTTCGTTTGCCTCTCTGGCAGCACGCTGCAGCGAGGTGATTTTTGGTATAGAGATATTATATGGGCCGAGAAGTAACATAGGTACCCAGTAAACATTTGTGATAACACGAAAAAGTTACGACGTGACATGTCACAACTTGATATCCAATTGCTGGCACAGTGATTAAGTTTGTCGTTTTATGTCAAGCAGTAACATGCACGTGATCTTTTTATGTCACGACGTGACACCGCAGGGACGAAACTTTTCATTTAAATGACACTACTTTAATTTGTTCATACGTTAAATACGTATTATGTTATTATTGTTAGACAAAGACTATTGTTTAATATTTTATATTTTTCTTTAATATTAACCATATGGTTTTAAGAAATTATTTCCGCAAAAATATATCTATATGTTTGCGATTTTGCAAACGATTTTAGCCAAGTACATATAGATGTATGTATCTTGCTATAGTAAGGTATACATGGTGAACAATATATTGTATACTCCATTTGCTCTGGAATAAATTTAAGGTGTAAAACTGTTATCAATATTGTCAAGAGTGAAAAGATATTTTTGTAGGTTTTTAAATGTGAATAGGAATTTTACTATAAGAAATATCATACTTTGTCCAGAAACAAAAAACTGGAAGAAAACCTGGATTTACTGAAACAATTGAATTCACTGTCCCAACTTATGTGCGATGGGTCTCGTATACACATATTTATGTATACAGGGTGCACGGCAGGTTGGTTAAGCCATTAAACTGAAGAAAAGTTATGTAATTACAAGTCTATTAAAATGGAATTTGAAAATTGTAAAATAAATCCGCGGTTCTCACATAATTGAAAAAAAAAATCTATTAAAAACCAAAATTTGTTGCAACTTTATTATTCCTGAGAATTAAAAAAAAGTAAGTTTCGCATGTATACATTTCTACACTAACAATTTATAAATTTTTTTGTCTACTTGGTTTTGAGTTATCACCATCTTTGGTTTTGCTATGGCTGCCATAATACAATTTTACTTAGTTGGATAGTAAAAAAATCGATTTATTAAACTATATAAGTTAATGGTGCACCATCGCCATGGCCATTTTAAAAACAAAAGATGGTGATGGTAACTCAAAGTAACGAATAAATTGGATGAACATGTAGATAAATGTGTATGTTAACAAGTCAAACATACTTTTTTTTAATTCCCAGGAATAACAAAGCTATGAAGATTTTTGGTTTAAAAGGCTCTTAGTTTTTTTCAGAAGTTTTGAGAACAGCTGCCTTTTTTTCAATTTATAAATAATTGCATTTTATATATAATTCTGTTAATAAACTCGCTGCAATATAAATTTTGAGTTCAATAATTTAAATAAATTGACGACGTCATACGATTAGGATGACGATACCAGAATTATTTCAAGTGACTATCGTCATAACAAGTAGTTTTAGCTCCTTAATAAAAAAAAATACCCATAAAAGCATACCAGTATAATTTCTATACATTTTAATTTAATAGTAAACAGAACTCTCAAAAATAAGAAGAAAAGTTTGTATGAACTTATATGCTTTTAAAGTTTAATTTTGAAGAAATAAATTAAATTCGTTTCCGTTTTATTTTTAATCTATAAATAATAATAAACTACTAAAAACTAAAAGGTTTTTATCAAATTCGCCCAAAAAATAAATATTTTTTTAAATAACTTTACCACCCTGTCTCTCGAAAACGAAGCTTTAAAACATACATACTTTTCTTCTGATATTTTCGATTTCTATAGATCACTAAATTTTCCCAATTAAAATCTGCGACACCCTGTATACATGTAGGTATTATACTTATAGGATACTTGATGCAACCTGTATAAAGGTAGTGTGCAAAACTTGTCTTATTATTATTATATTTAAATAAACGTTGACTGTTAATATTTTAGCCCATAATTTTATTTCACCCAAGGCCGGAAGTATGTTGAAGCTGTGATATACGATAAGAGGGTCGTCGCTATTGTTACTAGCGATGCAACGTGTTTTAAAAGACGTTGCATCGGTATTAACGATAGCGACGACGCTTTTTTCGTTTATCACAGCTCCAACATATTTTAAATATTCCCCTGCACTTTCGCTCGCGCATGCGCACTAGCTATGCCACGGAGTGATATCCCATTGAGTGCGTATTGCGCTTGAATGTCACGACTTGATATCCCATTGATTGTGTATTGTGGAAACATATGAATGCGCCAGTGATATCACGATGTCAAACCGGAATTTCGGAGTGATTTCAATACACAATCACAAATGTTTACTGGGTAGTAACCTTTTTGTTATTTTTACTTTTTTACATTTTTTATATCATCTAAGTTAAGGGGATATAAAAAAATGTAAAAAAAGTTAAGGGCCTTAACAGCCGCGAAGCAGCTGCCTGCGTTATAGTTGTTTCCACGGGCGGAGTATTATAAATAATTTATATTTAATAATTTGTTTAAACTATTTAGTAGTACTATAAATAGTTAACAATAAGATTCTTGAAAGGCTTATTTATATATATAATGCAGTTAAATTTAAAACATGATTTAACAGATTTATTTATACCAAATTTATATTGTTTTTAATAAAATTTATTTTTTAGGTTTAAAAAGCCAGCAAAATGAAAGGTCTACAGCTTGCATCACTTGTGGTGTTTGCCCTTTTAATAATCGATGTAACATCAGAAAAAGTGGTATGTACAATTGAATTATTTAAAAAAAATTTATTTATAAAAATATTTTTATTTAGAGAAAGCACAAAAAAGTTAAAGCTCATCATAAACTAGAATCAAAGGAGGTAAAAGATGATATTAATCTTAAGGCTGAAATTCCTCCAGATGTGGATGTAGAAGTTATTGACAATAGAGTTCCAATAGTTGGTAAGATTAAAACTTCTTTTAACATGTACCCTAAAAAATATTTATTTTTGTGCTACATTTTTAAGATTTTATCGTCGTATAGAATAAATAGTTCAATTTTAGTTAAATTTAAATAATTTCAAAAAACATTTGATGTTTAGAAATCTAAATATTAAAAAAAATATTTTCGCGACCTTTGGCCCTAAATCCTCTCATTCCGAGGTTTGCACTATTAATTCTACTCTTCCTCTTCAAAAGCTTTTTTTATTTTTTTTCTCTTGGGAAATCATTAGTTTAAATTTATTAGCTTGATTAGGGTAAATCTTTGATTCGTCGTTTCGTTCATAAATTTCTATTAACGTTTTCTCGGAGAGGAAAAACATATTAAAAAGGGAAAAAGGGGAAGAGTAGTACTTTTAGAATGGCGTAACAAGTTTTGTGGATGAAAAATACCCTGCAATATACAAGCTTGTGTCCCCAAACTTAGTGTCAAAATAATAAGAAAACCATGATACAAAGAAACATGGCATGCTATTTTATTAGCAGAGAGAATTCTGTGTATTATTGTTATATATAATCGTAAGATATTTAAATTTATTATTTGTATTGTGTTTTTATAATTATTTATTTGTGTGGGATAAATTTACTGTGCTGTGGCTACATGTAAAAAATATAATAAAAGGTTACAGCTAACATTATAAAGTTATACATAAATTGAATATTTTTTTTAATTTACTTTTTGGAGATTATGTGCTTCAAAAACCAGATTTTGAAAAAATATATAGGGTGTTCCAAAGAAAACTTGTATCCCCCAAACGTTTTAACGGGTCAATGTGTACAACATTCCTTGGACACGTCAATTTTTATTTCTAGGGGGGCGAATTTTAATGTACGATTCACGCCCCCACCCGCACCCCTACCCCGCACGTCGCCAAAATCATAAATTGTTGAGTTTCAGGAACAATCCGACACGGACAGAGACAATAACGGTCAAGACCACGACTAGTAAACTAGGCCCCTGCAGCGAACTAACAACTCCCCAACTCCAAACAGTAATCCCAAATGTTTGGAGTAATACTAATTTCCCGGTCTAGGGGTATCCCGCGTCGTACTGAGATTTGAATCGGCGTAATTGTCACCCAAACACCAAACTGTCCATCCCTCCCGTCCTACCCCCTTCATGATCCTACTGGGCGTATAGCATCGGCCCGGCGAACCCGGGAATGACTATTAAAACTATTGGCATTTTGCTCTCGAGCCCCAAATAAGGTACAGTACGGGACGCAATGGACATTTGCACCCAGCAAGCACGGGTGAAGCCGTGTCGGTGTTGGTGGCGGAAAAAATCGGCGTAAGGTAACAGGCCTGTGCGGGGTCCGGGAGTGATGAGGCAATGGGGCCGGTTATGTCTGTTATACTCATACTCATACCTCAAGAAATTTAAAGTCAGTTTGTATTATAACTTTTTAAAATACCATAATAATTATCTAAAATGTATAAAACCCCTTAATTAAATAGTATAATTATTATACTATACTGCTAGAATTGATATGATATATTACATTACTATATAATTAAGGGGTTTTATACATTTTAGATCCATGTTTAAACGTACACTGCGGCGCCGGCAGCATCTGCGAAACCGACTCCGAAGGTGAACCCCAGTGCGTCTGTATCCCTGAATGTCCAGTGGAAGTCGAGGACCGCCGTCAGGTTTGCTCCAACCACAACGAAACCTGGACATCTGACTGCGCCATCTATCAACACAGATGTTTGTGCAAGAACGGCGACCCGCAATGCAAAGGGGAACATTACAAGCACGTCCACATCGAGTACTACGGTGCTTGCAGAGAAATGCCAGTAAGATTTAAAAAAATTTAAAACTTTCTATTAAGTCGAGTCATAAAGTTAACCGGAGTAGTACTGCATGAAGCAATTTTAAATTTGAGGTTCGATAATCCCAAGCAACAATTTAGGTATTTGTTACGTATATGGGACTATTGAAGAAACTTTAAAGTGTTTTGCGACAGTCGCCGGTCTCTTTATATTACTCTTTCATTACTACGTTACGACTAAAGTGGGGAACAATTATTGAGTTCCAAAAAGGTAGCAAATATGTCACTAGCTATAAACCCTGCTACTATTTGGAACGTAGCTGCTACGTTACTAGAACGTTCCAATATCGTTGCTAGAGCGTTATAATTACTTTTATTATTTGTTTTTACTTCTATATTAACTGTCTTTGTCAAACTTATATTAGATTATACTATCCCTCCTTTTTTAAATGGAACCACTACGGACTTGGCTTTTCAATGTCGTCGTTTATTAAATATGTACTGGTAGTTTATAACTTCCAGAATAACAATATAATGTTTAATTAGACAGGAATTTATAAACCCTTTAAATTTTACTGTTGAACTTATGAATTTAGTTTTTGTAAAATAAATGCGCTTCATCAATATTTAAGTATAAACAAATTATTTATTTAGTAATGTTTATAAATAAAAAAATCTTAATATTTATTATTATTTTTTTTATTTAATTATTAATACTGTCTATTACCAACAAAATTACTATTTATTAAAAAGTAAACAACCATTTACAAACAATACAAACAATTAAAATAATTTATTATTTACATTACCACGTGGTACTGTACAGTAAAAAATGGCCGATAAGAAGCATTTTCCTTTGAAGTAGTTTTCGCTACTTTAAAGTTTTTTTCCACTTTACGGTTGTTTTGGTTAGTACCATAAACGTTCCAAATACTAAAATAATAACTTTTAAGTTATTAACTTTGTAGTTTTTAACTCATGTTCCAGTTTCGAGATTTTAACTTGCAAAGGGACTACAAAGTAAAAATAATTATAATGTAATCTTTAGGTAGCAACCGAAAGTAACTGCTACAAATTAAATTTACTTGAAAGTTTTTTTTACTTATAACACCTTTTTTAAAGTTGCAAAGTCTTCTTGGGGGCAACCAAGTTTTACTTAAATGTTTATTACTTTATAGTAACAATTTAAGGAAAAATTAAGTTTCTGTTACAAAATATTGCTATTTAAAAGTTAAAATTACTTTTAAGTAAAAATTAAAGTAGCTGTTTAGTATACTTAACTAATTTAAAGTTATCACCACTTTGGCAATGGTTTTTGGAACCAAAAATGCTGCTTGGGATGGAGCTTAATATTTGAGATAACAATTTTGTCTTAGATTTAATCAATCGGGCCAATCTTCTTTTATCATAATCAATAAAAACCCGAAAGTCGATTTTTTGGTTTTCCATTCTACTCTTCATTTGAGATTCAGGGCAAGAGATTCTCTGATAACAATACTTTTTGTTTTAAATAGGAATGCAACAAAGACGAAATGGCAGATTTCCCACGCAGAATGCGCGACTGGCTTTTCAACATTATGCGCGATATGGCCGATCGTCAAGAATTGAACAGGCACTACTTGAAAATGGAACGCGAAGCTGAAAATAATATGACCCGTCGTTGGGCTAACGCAGCCATCTGGAAATTCTGTGAATTAGATGGAAATCCACCAGACAGGTAAACTAAATTTTTAAATAATTTTTTCAATAAATGTACCTACCGCAATCAAAAACTAAAATTCTGATTGCAACATTTTAAGCGACCTAAAAATTTTCAAGATATTTGATAAAGGTAAATTATATGGGTCATTCCACCAAATATTTTTTTTATTTGATTGACTCCTGCGGAATTAAAAAAAAATTGTGGAGGTATTTTTTGTATATATCAAAATTATGACTCACTGAAGATTTGAGCTCTTAATATTAGGTACTTTCGTAGTAATGTTTTTTCAAATTTTGATGATTTTTTTTTAAACTTTTTTGTTAATTTTTTTGGGTTTAAATAATGTTTTGTTAAAAATTCTTAGCTTTTCAATAAAATTATGCAATTTATATTTCAAATTTGATGTTTTTTCTGAAAGCAGAAATTTTTTTACATATAATATGTCCTTTTCACAATGGTTTTTTTTTGTTTAAATAGGTAATTTTTTTCAAATAATTCAGGGGATGAATGTGAAATTAACGCCAATTTTATTTATTTTATAAAAATAATATAATATACTACAGATGCATAAAGCTACATTGTAATTAATTCGCTGGACGAGTGACTTTGGCAAGCAAGTCGGCAAGAAATTTACCATTCACAATAACCTTAGAGTCAACTTATGTTCTGTGAGAGTCAAATTTAATGCATTCGCGTTGGTGACTGTCATGTTCTTTGTGAGGTTAGAATTTAAAAATTAATTTGTAATACGCTGCCCGTCAAAATTAACGCATAATAATTGTTTATTATATTTTTATACTTAAGTATAAAAATTATAACTCAAAAACGCCTTTACCAATCTTTATGAAATTTTGTATAAAAATACTTCAACTTATATCTCAGTTTACGGGTTCGAGGGTTTTTCGAGAAAATATCCTTAAAGCCCTTTTATTTAAACCTCATCTTCATTGACAAGGTGTGACTTTATGGCATTTTAGTCACCGGCTGAAGTTAGCTTTATTATAATTTGGGAAAAAGTAAGGTTAAATTTCGGTGGCAGTTGACAGATGTCAAATTTTTAACAAATAAAATTGGCTTTAAATTCTGTTGTGTTCTTCGTAGATAAAGTATAGAATGCAACTTGTTTATAAACTTCTCTAGACACTCGTTTTTATTAAACACTTGCTCATAAGCTTCTCTCATGCTTAAACTCGTAACTAAAATGGAGTTTATAAAACTTGATACATAATATAGTATTTTGTGTATAAAGGGTCCTAATTTAGAAAACAAAAAAGACATATATTTTATTATTTTTCGAAAATAAGACGAAATTAGCTTGACACTGACAGAAAACTAAACTTAATTATTTCTATCAAAGTCACGTGGTGGGAAATGTAATGAGAGAATTTTCAAAAATTTATCAACCAGGAGTCTTAACAAATTGAAACAGATAATTTTGTAGGATAAAATATTAAAACTACAATTTTTAAAGATTAATATTTTACAGTTGCATTTTAATTTAACTTTTTTACTATTTTGGTAGAAAATGTTTTATATGTGTTTTTTAATAAATATATTGAAACTATTTTTAAGTAGTAAAAAATTTAACTTAACCAATTTAATCTAAATAAAAACTGATGGTTAAAAATTTTTGCAAAAATTGATTGGAAATAATATTGTCCAATACAAAAGCGAACTGTATTGTCTAATACAAAAGTAAACTGTAGTTCTTTTTATACATGATAGTTAAAAATATTTTAAATTTATAAATGTAAACCTAAACTTTTAGTTAGGTATTTTTTAAACCAATAAAATTGTAAATTAAAAATATACTTAATAAATGTTAAAACGGCGTGTCATAATTTACATCCAAACAAAAATTAACGAAAAAGAAAAATATCGTCAAAATTTGAAAAATCATAACCAGGAAATATTAAGAGCTCAAATCTTCAATGAGTCATTATTTTGATGTAGATGATAACTCCATAAAATTTTAAAAAATCTATTTATGTATAATGTAAATAAAAAGCTGAGGTTCAATAGTAAATTTAAAATTTGATTTTTGTGCCAATTTAACATTTTTTTGCATAAAAAGCTTCTTATTATTTTTTATTTTCAGATCAATTTCCCGTCACGAATTGTTCCCAATTCGTGCCCCTCTCATGTCTTTGGAACATTGTATTGGTCCATTTTTAAACTCTTGTGATAACGATAACAATCACAAAATTACCATTAAAGAATGGGCTGCATGCTTGGAACTTGAACAGGAGGAAATTGAAGACAAATGTCACGAATTGATGGATGATGATGATGATGAAGAAAAAGAAGAAAATGAACAATAATTTTAATTTTTAATTAAATAATTATTGTAAAAATTAGTTTAAGTTATTGTAAATGCAGAATGACCTGGTGCTATTTTTAATGTTTATTTTATAAAATATTACTTTAGTAATTAAAATGTTATAAACAAATACTTAACACTGCCTTAATTTGTGTATTTTAAATAATAAAAATATATTTTATATAATATTTATTTATTGCTTTGTATTAATTTATAACTAAAAATTAAAACAATTATGCGTGTCTGTATCTCAGAGCTACAAAATTTTCACCTGCATTGATGAAAATGCAAATCTCTCCTTTAAAATCAGGTTTCTGGACTTGCCCTACTTTGGCTGGGTTACGGATAAAATAAGAATTACGGGTTTTTCTAAACAAGTTTAATCGGTTAAAGTTCGGATTATCCTGGGCATTGCGGTTACCTACCAAAGATCTCGAGTTTATTTATGCTTTTAAAGCAATATATATATATATACATATATATATATATATATATATATTATGAGTATATTTTTAGGAAATACATAAATAAAACTATCAAACCCAAAGAAACAAGTTTTAGCCTGTTAAAGTTATTACAATTTATTTTGACATTATAGTGGTTTTTTACGACACTTGGTACCATATAGGAAGCTTAATTGAGGAGCATCCGTACAAAACCGTCTAAATCCATTATATTCAGTTTTTTTTTTTGATTTCGCATCTTTGGGTTCATTTCTATCGACAACCAAGATAATTCTGTTTAAATCCGACTATATCCATGTTAAAATCACATTTAAAAGGTTTAGGAGCAAAACCGGCCAAATCCACGTTTTTATAGCAAACCCGGCTATATTCCATAAATAATAATGATGATGAGCATGTGGCTTGGATATGTCGATACTACTACTAAAATTTGTTCTGTTTTTTCATGTTAGCACTAAATTTATTTTGTTAATATTTTTGAATAATAAAGGTTTTTTTTTCACATTTTATTTGGTTTTTGAGCAAAACCGGCTATGTACAAAACATTTTTTGAAATTTTGGCCTTAATATAAAGTTTTTGAAAACGAATTCGCAAGCAAACTTGAGTTTTGTGGGCTTTGTGGTACTTGATTTATATAAGACGTAGGTACTTTAAAGTTTATCTGCAAAGGCCAGGAAACCGAGAGTTTTTGCCAACATTTTATTAAAGTGGATATAGCCGGTTTTGCATGGATGCTCCTCAATTAAGCTTGTATTATTTTATTAGAAAAACAACGGATACCTAACATTTTTGACAAGAAAAATAAGTTTTACAAATTTGTATATATACATAATATTTTTAAATATTTTGCATATTTAACGTGAACCGCTCATTAAAGTAAATAAGTAAACGCACAAAAAAATTCCAAAAACAGTTCGCGACTAGAAAACTAGCTAGACACTTTTAAAATTGACATTTTTTTCTATTCCAATAAATTTAAATAGCCTTATATATAAGCCTATAGGCTTATTTATTCATAATATAAAATAACATATAAGTAATAATTATTAATATTTTGCATGGTGTGCATAATTTGTCGGCCTAAAGGGTAAAGATTAAAGCATTACATTTTTAATTAGTGCTTTTAATTAGCATTTTATTAGCACCTAATTATGGGACTATAAAATTTGCGTTCTGCTAAATTTGCTCTGCCAGCTTTAGGGACGTTCCCAGACCGCAAAATCACATTCCCTGCACATGTCAGGAATATTCCCAGGAATATTCCAATCGTCCCAGAATATTCCCAGGAATATTCCTGGCATAATCAAATGTCCGCTTTTTGGTTAACCCAGGCATCATAAAAAGAATATTCCATATAATATATTATCTGCCTGCAGAAGACTCAAGGATTGTTAGGGGAATATTCCTTAATATAATTTGGGGATTATTCCCAGCCCTTATTGCCTCTTATACCCAGGAACTTAACTTAAGTATAGCCATTATTGAGTTACTGAGTAGATCAGTCCCACTCTAATCATTGTTTGGCTGTGCCATCACAGACGCACATCTCCAACTAATATTATTAACCTATTGGTATATATAGTTATCAAGCGTGCGTAAGCAACGGTGAGAGGTATTGCAACTAAACTAATGAATATTCACTGGGAATGTTCTTAGATGATGCTTGGAAGTTTTAGAGGATCATTCTAGGAATATTCCCAATGAATATTCCTAGAATGAAGCGGATTATTCCTAGGCGATAGGGAATATTCCTGGAATATTTTCGAACCTTCATTGCAGTCTGGGTTAGCTGATCTCCGAATTTGTGTTTACTTCCAAAAGATAGAATATCAGCGTCTTTTGTAAATACAAAAAATATAACAAAAACTTCTTCGATAGAAACAATTTTTATATTTGATAAAATATATGTTATAACAATGTGATTTGATTGGCATATGCCATATATAGGTATGCGAAGTTTTTATTAACCGTTAAAAAGTTCACGAGTACCGGTAGGCCTACTGTTGGAATTAGGTACCATTTTTTAAATAAAAAAAAATGTAATAACGCCACTTAATTATGTACACAAAATAATGCAATAATAATCCATGGATTATTAAAGTTGCAACTTTAAACCCTACAATAATAATATTGAGCAAATATCAATTTACACAATTATAATTAATTATAAGAAATTAAAAAAAACAATTGTTTTGTTTAATCACTATTCAAAATAATTCAAAGAATCGCAAATTATTAATTAATTAAGCTTAAACCATTAAACCAAAAACAAATTGTTTTTTTTTTAATTTCTGCACTCCACTATTTCTTTATTTCTACAATTTATAAATTAACGTTAAGGTAATTAAATAATGGCCCCGCAGGCCTTGCATTGCGGGGAAGCCGAAAATACAAAGGCGCTTAAAGGCTGACCTGGAGATATTTTTTTTCACATACTTGGTGCAACCTGTATTATACAGGCGCCTATAATAGGCGCTATCAAAATTTCGCGGGAAGGCGCATACTTGCTAGTTACGCCACTGTAATTAATTATAATAAATTAACAATATATTATTATAAAGGTATTATTATTATATTATAAAATAAATAAATGCTCTAATTATTTTAATAAAATTCAAATTTGTTTATAAAAATAATATTAAATAAAACAGTTTTATGTTCTGTAGTTTTACCCGTAGGGGCGCTAATGTAAGTACTTGACAAAGCAATAATAAAAAACGTAGATTAAAAAACTGGAAAATAATAATAATAATAAAATAGGGCGATTAATCCCTTAATTATCAATATTTTTATAATCCTGAACATCTAAACATTCCGTTTTAATGTTATTGTATTTCCCTCCAATTTTTAATTGTTCAAGGTTCTTACCCAAGCCAAGCGTCATTCGCTCGCCCAATCAATAGTCAACAAGCTTACCCGATGCAGAAACGGCTTTCTATTGGCCGAATTGAGTCACGAGACCGAAATGCGCAAGCGCGTTTAGTGAATTTTATCATTTGGCGGGCAATCGTTGACTAACCGCTTTATTCGTGTTCGGTCGTGAGAAAGCGTTGGAAGAATTATCGTAGAAAATGGTAAGAAATGTTGTGTTTTTCGTGATTGTTTCGCAAAATATTATTGTTAAAGTGACAATTTAAGTTTTGGTTGAATACAGAAGAAGTTACTTTGGTTACTGAGTTAATTTTTTGGTGTTTTTTTTAGGCTGGCGGTAAAGCAGGTAAAGACTCTGGAAAAGCAAAAGCAAAGGCGGTTTCTCGTTCAGCTCGCGCTGGATTGCAGGTAAATAAACAATAATTCTTGATTAATTTTGTAGTTGCAATGTTTTTAAGAATTTTTAGTTATAGGTTATGTTTGCATTTGGTGATTGTATATTTTTGTTTTAGTTCCCCGTTGGTAGAATCCACAGACACTTAAAGAACCGTACAACTAGCCATGGTCGCGTTGGGGCTACAGCAGCCGTATATTCAGCCGCTATTTTGGAATATTTGACTGCTGAAGTGTTGGAATTGGCAGGAAATGCCAGTAAGGATTTAAAAGTAAAGAGAATCACTCCTCGTCACTTGCAGTTGGCAATCAGGGGAGATGAAGAACTCGACAGTCTTATTAAGGCCACCATCGCAGGAGGTGGTGTCATTCCCCACATCCACAAATCCCTAATTGGAAAGAAGGGTGCACATTCACAGCCCGCCTAGTTTAATACGTTATTAATAAAAATAATATAAGTATAGTTTTTATATAAAGACTTGACAATGTGTCAATGATGTGTTTTAATATTGTTGGGCACATTTAACTGTATGCAAGGCATTGCAGGTCCTGTTCAAATTCTAAATTGTTTCACATGTTTTTAATTTTCAGCCGATAAATGTATTTTTTGAAAACTGTACTGATTTCTTTGAATGTGCCTTGTCCATTACAACAAATTTCATTTGTAATTAGAATTAGGGATATTTTAGATTAGCTGTTCAATTTTACATTTTAAATAAATGTATCTTGTGTTCATTTCGTATTAATAAAAAGTTTCTATATTAAGTTTTGTTTCTATTTAAAATTTTAAATTAAAGAACCCTTGGAACATTTTTTCATTTACATAAATTAAATTATTTTTCTGTTAAAACCAAGCTCGAAACAACAAAAATAAATCCAAAAGTATTGATATTACATTTTGAGGTTAGAATAGTACTTTTTTAAAATTTGCTTTAAAATAACAAGGAATGCCTGTATTCTAAGTAGGTATGGGATCATGAATTACAATTAAATGAAGGACATACATAAAAAAATCTACTTTAAGACTAAGAAATTTGACCAGTAATTAAGTAATCTTAAATTAAAATAGGTAGGTAGGTAGGTACTAATTTTACAAATAAAATTATAAGAAAGAACGAAAACTATTTCTTAATAACATTTATTACAATAATTATTGCTGTATTTTAATAAATATATAATATATGTTATAACATAGGTTTTCTTGCTTAAATTTTATGAAAAATCTAAATAATTAGTTTTTTTCTAGAAAAATCCAAGGCATAGGTAGGTAATTTAAATATTGTTTAAATTTTTATAAATAAATTATATTTTAATAATAAGCGTAAAAGCATCTTTACTCAATGGTAAAAGATAAAAAATACAAAAATAGCGTTTATTTATTTTATTCCTTGCAGTTGGTATGGTTGTTTCATAGAAAACCGTTGAAATTTGAATTTTTGAGGTTATTTTTATTGTTTATGTCGGTTTTCATTATTCTTGTATTGCAAATTACAACTAAGAGTGTTTTGTGTTTTATTTAAATTAAAAAAAAAATAAAATGCTGTTTGAAGAAAACGTTCACCAATCTATTTTCAAACCACCAACATTCCTGAAGCAATTTTTTATTGATAATGAAAGGATTAATTTAGTTTATAAAAGGGTAAGAGTAAACTTTGATTAAGCATAAGAATTAAACTTCAAAAAAAAATACTTTTAGATTGGTAGCGTTAGTGTAGAAGAAGAGGAAGTTATTCCAGTTAGGGAAAAACTGGAAACTTCAAATGATGGTTTAGATATAACGGGAAACCCTCTAAAAGTGGACTTAAATGGAGACGACAGTTTGGGACATATAGTTAAGATCCAACAAAGAAATAACTGGACTGCACAAGAAGCAAAGCTTTATCCATTGTCAAGTAATGAAGCCAGGTATAATTCTATAAAAATTTTATTTAATTAGGTACCTACCTAGTAAAAATTTTACGTAGAAACGACGTTTTTGGAAAAACCTAACTTTTGTATAATTTTATGTTAAAATGTCCCAGTTTATAATATTATATGACAACATTAGTTTCTAATGATTGGGGCGCCCTTTAATGTGTTAACACTAAAGTAATATTTTCAATTAGATAAAAAATGTCATATAGGTATGATAGGTATTTTTATATTTAGGAATTTTTATTTTGCAAACTAAAAATATAGTAAATATTAAAATTTAAATTAAATTTTTATTCCAAACTGATATTTTTAATTTAGTGAATTTAAAATATCTGTTTCTTATATTTGTATTTTTTAGTTAATAAAATAAACTGATCGAAAAAAGTTAAGCATATTTTTGAACAAAGTTGAAATCAAACTGGATACCGACTGATACCTAAAATGCGTTTTTTCGACTTCGTTCTTTTTTGTCCAAGATTCTTTCATTTTTACGTTTTTATTACCAAATATTAAAATAAATTATACAGGGCGTATAAAATTGTATCGTTAAATTTATGTTTTGGTCAAAATATCTTAATATGCTTAACTTTATTCGATTAGTTTATATTAATAATTCGTTAAATTAAAAATATGATTAGGAAATATTTTTAATTTATTTTAATTTTAATTTTTTAAAATAAGCAGATATTTTTAATTGAAAGTGATATTTTTAATTGAAAGTGATATTTTTAATTCAGATTAAAAGTTTAGACACTCTTGGTATTCCAAACCAATTCTGTCCCTAGATGGCGGCACAATCACTGGGATCTCCGTGAATCCGATGTCGCAATCACAGATCACAGAGGTCGCAATGCAGTCGGTCATGAGTCATGTGCATGTGCTGAACAAGGACACACGTTACTTTGTTGGAGTGGGTCGGTTTTTGTGGCGTTTGGAATAACAGGGGTATCCAAACTCTTAATCAGTCGGAATTAAAAATATCACATTTAATTAAAAATATCTGCATTTGAAAAAAAAAATTAAATCGAATTAAAAATTTCTCCTATGATATTTTTAATTTAACAAAGTAGAAATATGTGTTAAACAAAAAAAAAAACAATTAAAAGAAGGAAATATTTTAAATTAAATTTATTAAAAATCAGTTTGGCATAAACATTGGATCTAATTTTTAAAATATATGTATGTATAAAAAAATACCACATGAACATCCCAGACCGCACAGTCCTATTCCAGTATTATTCCAGGAATATTTTTAGGATTATTCCAAACGTCCTAGAATATTCCCACGAATATTCCTGATATATAAAAATGTCCGCTTTTTATTTATCCATAGCATGGTGAAAAATATATTCCCAGAATCTGCCCTTCAAATATTGTTAAGTTATTCCATAATTTCTTTTAAAATTGATTCTGGGAATATTCCAGTCTTATTAAAATTTAGTAGGCCGGAATGTTGAAAGAATTTTCGGGTTTTTTTGTTATTTTTAAGGACCTTTTTGGACATAAAGACAACTTCATATTAAATAGTTTAATAAAAGCAATTGTAGTACATGGGTACAATGTGTATATACATATATATACAATGTACATATATATATATATAGAAGAAATAAAATACATACATATATAACGAAATAAAAACAAATTCTTTGGTACTGTAATACAGTAACCCTGTATAAATTGGAATTGCACATTTCTACTGCTGAAGCGCTTCCATCCTTCTTTTTGCTTTGGTCAGCCAGACTGCCATTTGATCCTCTATTTCCTTTGTGGTAGCTTGCGGCACATGATTTCTTACTCAATCTAAAATAAAATTACCTATATGTGGAGTGTTGATAACAACTTACAGTATTTCATACCTATAATTAACGTTACAAAATGTTTATGGGCGGTAAAATTCTTTTTAGCTTTGTGTCCTTTGAAGCTGTAGCTGTTTGCCAAATTATCATCGAGTATGGTTTTCATGGCTTTTCTTACACATTCACTAATGGTATGGCCACCTTCCAGAGACACCATTTTAACCTGAAAATTTGTAAATTAACTTAAAATGGAAAGATGTACTTTTTTTATAAAATTCGAATCTACGTAAAAAACTACGTATGTGTGCCAAAAAGCTTCTCTGTAGTTTTTTCTACACTCCCCCAAAATCAACAACATATCAACTTGCACATTAAAATTATTTCCCATGTTTAATTGCTCAAAAAACTTTAATCAGCAAAATGTCAAAATTTTCAACTAACTTAGATTAAAATAACGTTTCCATGGAAATAAACAACAACGTGCAGTTTAACAACGTCTTGCCCACTTCAGTGAGTAGAAATACTTAGGTATGTAATTAAAAATGTCAAAACATAATAATAAGCGATGTAATTATAAAATATAATTAAAAACAAATGTCGACTTTGTGTCTAAAGCACTTTAAATGTTGAAAGTCAACTTATTATAATTATAAAATACAACTACAAAAGCCGGTTGGAAAATGAACTGTTTGGGGACTCATTTTTACCTAATTAAATGAAGATAAAGAAGTAGATATAGTTTTAAACAGCATTTAGTATTTTAATATAATTAAAGAAGGAGCAATTAGCTAAAAACTAGAACTTACCTTTTAACAATTAACTAGAAACTAGAAAATGGCTGCAGCGTCACTCTCAACACACACCGTCTTCATCAAATTCGTGAACCTGTCCAGAGAGAAGAACCTGCCTGTCTGCTATTGGCAGAGCCGAGAATCTCTGCTGTGCGCGCGCAGAGCCGAGTGGCCCCGCCACGGAGTAGCGATATTAAAGGCGCTCATTTTAAATACGTAAAATTTGTATACACAAGTTATCAGTGAGCACACATTTATGTATAAATATACTTTGTGCATGTGTACGAATTATTATTATATATAATATTTATAATTATAAATAAATTATATAACGTACAGGTCCAAGCTAGTCTAGACTTATTATATTAATTAGGTATAATTATACCTTAATTATACTTTAAGGTACAAGCACAGACTTGGTCTGTGGGTACAAGTAATAATAAGCACATACTAAATAATTTACACCCCAATATGGCTTCTAATATTAATAATATTAATACTCTTATACCTATATTGTTTAACAAACAATATTACCTATAGGTACATTAATCAATCAGTTGCCCAAAATGCAGCTATAGCTATATTCTTTTTCTATGGCTATATATAGCTGTTAATTTTGATCTAGTTTAGGGTATATTCCCAAATATATTCTTGGAATATGCTGGATTATTCGGGAACATTCATATAATAATTTATTTGAAATATTCCCCAGGAATATTCATAGATTGATTGTAAATATTCTAGCATTTTTAGGAATAATCTCAGAATGTTCAGGCAGATTCCGTGCGGTCTGGGATGTTTAATCTGCGAATTAAAAATATTATAGCAAATATTTAAAAATTAGAATAAATTTTTATGCCAAACTGATATTTTTAATTTGGTGAATTTAAAATATCTTTTTCTTATATTTGTATTTTTTTCTTAAACACAAATTTTTAATTTGCTTAATTAAAAATTACATCTAAATATTTTATACAATGTGTTTGCACACATGTGTATTTTTTTATTTAGAAAAAAATACATCTCAATGTGCCCTCATGGGCCACTACAGATAATAAATATAAAAATGAATATGAAAATTCAAATTTCCAAGGTTCTGTTCTAAATAACTTCATGATGGATAAATGGCTAACTAAAGTTCTTTCTCATGACGAGGTAAAAGTAAAAGTTTCAGTTATTTGTTTTTCAGCATATAAAAACTTTATACATGTTTTTCTGTATGTGTGGGGAATTTTAGGAAGCTGTGGGGAATCTTACAACATGATGTGGGGAAAAACCGTTTTTTTAGTTGGCAGCGCTGGAGCATACCATAGTCACTCTGTAGTTGGTATTTAAATGTAACTAGTTTAGTTAGGTTAATAAAAGTTGGTAGACCTGATCGAAGCGGAAAGGAATTGTCAGACATTGTGTACGCTGAGCGTACTACGCTCCATATGCCATACCCAGTAAACCAAACCGTGACTCATGAGTCATGACCTAAAATTTACGTAACACGTAGATCATATGTAGGTAATACAATTCTTACATCATAGTGACATAATAGTGACCCAAAACGTGACTTTCATATGATGTAATTAAATGACTTACATATTATGTACATCTTATGTAATATGAAAGTCATATCGTGTCGTAACATTAAAGTCACTTTTCTTACGTAAGACTGACATAAGAAATCTGTCATAATAGTACATAAGTTTTAGGTCACTGTCTTACGTAATACTGACGTAATAAATCTGTCATAATATTACCTAAGTTTTAGGTCACTTTCTTACGTAAGGCTGACGTGGGCCAGAAATTCGCTAAACATTGAAAAAGTCAATTTTTAATAATGATGGAATACTAAGTTTTTTTATGCTAAAAACGGTCAAGTAGGCCATTAAGCTTACACACCAGGAATATGTCTGTGAGTTTTTATGTTGACGCACGCGGGTTTGACAAATGTCTGTAAATTTAATACTTAATTGTCTGGTTTATTTTGTTTAAACAAATCGCTTAAGTTTAAGACATTACAGTTAAAGGTGGATTAACTTTTTGACATGCACTATGAGAGGGCCAGATGCAGGCAAGTTCAAGGTTTTATACCATTTAAATATTGTAGATTTCTTTGCGTATTTCCAAAAAAAAAAATAATGATTTAGTGAACGCATGTAAATTTAAAGCAAAAATTAACCTATCACATGGATATTTCACCTGATATATATATCAAGAAATGCACGTTTTTGGTTGATGCTCTTAAAATCAAGCTTTATTATCGAAAAAAAAAACTTTTAAAGAATTTTGCCTATCCAGGAGAAAACGAAAGATTTTCTGTGTGGTCTTTTACAATTTGATTCAAAATAAAGCTCTATTCAGGTTTTAGTTGAAAGGTTATTAGGCCTAGATTGTAAAAGACTTAATAGAA